TTAAATTTTACGATTGTATTTTGCTTGACTCAGCTAATAATCCGCCTATGAATCACTTATGAAACCGTTTAAGAAACTGCATAATAGTTACAGTATAAATTATTGTTATATTTAATCAGCCAATTGCTTTTTTTAGCTGCAAATTGCTTATGAACCAGATTATAAAGTCACATAATATTTATAAATCATTTACGTGTAGCACCTAATTTTAACAATTACAACATTCTACATCAAAAATTTTCACTTATATATTTAGATTTATTCACAAACGAAGCCTTAATCCATATGATAGTTAGTCATTTGCTGATTTTTGATCTTAGCCAATCAAAATAGCAATATATATATATATACTATATGGGAGCACAAGAAAATTTTTAGACATGCCTTTTGGTTTAAAGGCATGCCCGGGACATGCCCAATGGGGGCATGCCCATGAGCTCTGTGCCTCCACCCTACTCACTAGGTAAAGCAAGGTATATGTTTAGCTTACTTACTGGCTCATTTTTATCTTTTTTGCCAGACAATATTTGATGGAAAAATTTTAGAGGATCTTCAATTTGAGGTACTGTATCCGGCTGGTTTAGTTTATATTGTGAAAAGATCACACGTATTTCAGCCGTAGCTAAATTTTGATCACCTTCGTCGTTAAAGGTTTCGAACTTTGTTGACAAATCAAGTAGAATGGGGATAGCGGAAGATTTTATAAGGTAGTAAAAATGCTCCCTTAGAGCATCTCTCATTTCCCTTACTGCTTTATTAAGAAGGTAATTATTAAGGTGTGATAAGAGACCACAGATAATTGTTCGTATACCTCTATGAGAAGGTTGTGACACAACTGAAATTGCTATGTAAAGAGGCTCAAGGATTTCTAATATTTCTTTAATTATTTCCTAATCAACAAGGTTGAAGTAAATTCTCTTGATATCTGGATGGGAATGAGTAAGTTTATTGGTGATAATATGAACTTGAATGAACCATTCAAGTATTAAATAAGCAAAACGCCATCCTTTTTTATTAATTTCAGGATAAATCAGTAGATGATTTAACAAGACAGAAATTCTTTCTAATTCTGTCAAGAGTGAAGGTGATGTTATTAATTTGTTATACAAATTATGGGCTTTATTAATTTGGTCGTAGTACCTTTTTTGAAATTCTTTAGCTACTTGATTAATAACATGTAATGGACAATGAATAAACATGAAGAAGGGACTTATAGCTTCCTTGAGATAATTATAACAATTTTGGTTATTTAACATGTTATCTCCAGTAAAGCCAATTAATTTTAGTTTAATTTCTAAGTCCTCTATGAGCTCGAGGACCTTTTTTCCAATATAATTATCAATGTAGATATCAAGTAAAGCGATAATATCAAGAAGAATAGTATATATCATCCACTCGTTATCTACCCAATAAATGGTAGCACTGAGAAAGGACTGTTGGGAAAGTGTAGCCCATGTGTTTATAGTAAGAGACAGTTTGCTTTTGTTATTTTTCAAAAAATCTTTTACAATTATTTTTGCTAATTCGAATTGTCTTTCAATATCTTCAGAAAGAGTTTGAGAACAGGTGATTTTATAGTGCAGGTTAAGAGTAGAAATAAAGTTACTGAAGGAATTGTCTTCTACGGTTGATAAAGGTTGATTCCTAATTACAATCTATTACAATAAGTTGCAATTTAATAACTTTATATGACGTTTTTTAGCAATTGAGTTTAAGGAATTTTCACACGTATCATAGAGATTGAAAGTTTCAAGGCTATCAAATTCGCTAAGATATTCATAAGCCAGTCTTTTTTTTGATTGAACTATAAGAGAATGTTGAGAGAACAAGGCGAAAAAATTTTCAGACAAGTGAGATGACATTATCAAATTTTTTAGAGATAACGAAGTAACAAATAAGTGAATTGGTGAAAAAAAAGAGAATTTATTCAATTATTATTTTTTTTTAATTTGAATAGGCGAATTAGTGGAAGAAAAAGAATTTATGTAATTATTGTTTTTAATTTGAATAGATGAATTAATAAACAGGCAAAGGAAGGAATGTGTCCTTATATAATAATTTAAGAAGGTATATAATTAACCTTTTATTAATATTATTTATTCTTTAGTATTTTAATAATTGAAGACACGATTACTATAAAATCATGAAATAACGTATACCAAATGCATGTTATTAAGTATCTGCGCGCTTTTTAGAGGTATGTACAAATGCGTTACTTGAAGCAATTAGTCAATTTCCAAGTTTGACTATTAACTTATTGATTGTTATTGGGAGGTCCCAATTGGGTATGATTATTTATGGTTGGTGTGTAACTTTTACCAATACTATTTAAATGGTTAGGCATTGGTGATTTTCTTGTTTAGGTAGAAGTTGTATAAATAAAAAGTATGTATTGGAATTTAGAATCATTAATTATTTATTGCATTGCAGCTTTAGAATTAACAAACAGTCTGCAATTATCAACGTTTAATTCACCATCACATTTGGTTTGTCGCGATTTGCAAATACTTTATTGATTGCTCAAGTGATGATCATCACTGCCAATTGCAATTGTAATTGTGTGGTAGTGAATACTTTTACTATGCTTAAGAGCATCAAATGATCTTTTAAAGAAAAAATAATAAATCAGATCAAATTTGCACTTATTTTCATCACAATCAATTAATTGTGTTAATGATTATTGCTTGGATAATCAATGGGATAAGGAATTTTGCAATCGTGATAATACCATTTAAATAATTAAGGATTGTATGGATTTCCTTGTTTAGATAAAAGCTGCATAAATAAAGGTATGTAATTGGAATTTAGAATAGTTAATTATTGCAGCTTTATTATTAAACTAAAAATTAACAAACAGGCTATGATTATCAACATTCAATTCCTCATCGCACTTGTTCCAACACTAAGTGCTGGCATGATTGTATGGATTTTCTTATTTAAGTAAAGTTGCATAAATAAAAGGTATGTAATTGGAATTTCGCATTATTTACTCAATCTGATTGATCATAGAGATCACAATTCCAACTGGAAATTGGGTGAAAACAAGACAAATATTGTTACCATATTATCACCCATTATTTCAGAATATGTATAAGTATTATTTTGGAACTATTTATGCTATTCTTGTCACCAGAGCCAGTGCATACACGAAGAGTACAAAGAATTTTATTATAATTTAAAATTAGCATTAAAAAATTTTATATAATAATTGTAATTAAGTTTTATTTATTTTTTATTAAACATACATTTAAAAAAATAAAAAAAATTCAAATATAAAAGTTGGCTCATTTTTCATTAAAAAAAAATAAATTTAAAATTGTCTCATCTCTTTTTAATATTGATCTAATCTATTAATACCATGTCTGTTAAAACAATCGAATTTTATTTTAATAACACACAAAATTCTTCTGAAAGCGTTAATAATCAGAACCAAACTAATAACAAATTAAAAAATAGACAAAAAAAAAATCACACACCTATTCACAATTACCTTAAGACACTTGAAGATGGCACTCGTATTTGTAAAGTCTGTGATAAAGATAAAGGTGTTGTAGGTAAATGGGGTCCACTCACATTGTTAATACCTATAACGCGCCACTTTGAACAAACATCTAAATACTTTTAAAGTATTTGGAAAATCTGCTGCAAAACTTGTTTGCCATTCTTCGTATTCAATTGCTAATAAGAATCACGTAGAATTATTAGACCGTAATCTATTGGAGTTCATTATTATTAGTCAACAGTCTTTTTCTCTCTTGGAAGAGAATTGCTTTGCTAAATTTGTTTCCACCCTTGACTCACATTACAAAATCTTCTGTTGTCAATCCATGTCTGAAAATATTAAAAAGCTCTTCAAGTTAGAAAAAATAAAAGTAAAAGACCTTTTAAAAAATAATAAAAGTAAATTAGCTCTTACTCTAGATATATAGACTGCATGTACTCAGCAGCCCTTTCTTGGAGTCACTGTCCATTGGGTTGACATCAAGTGGACATTGCATACTATTCTTCTAGACTTTATCTCTTTACATAATGCTCATATCAGTAATTACCTTAGAGAAAAGATCCTTGAGCTTGTAAAGAACTTTGATATTAAAGAAAAAATAATTGGGTTCATAGGTGATAATGCGTCTAATAACCAAACTTGCCTGCGTTATCTTTAGCAACATATGAACTCTGAACTTATATATGTGTGCTGTGCAGCACATGTTCTAAATCTCATAGTAAAAGAAGGTCAAAAACTATATTTACTATAAGTCAGATAAAAAAAATGCAATATCTATGTAATAAAATTAGAAATTCGCTATTGCTCTTAGAGGATATTAAAAAAATATCTGCTATTCTAGATCGTCCACCTCTTTATCCTGAGCTCAACATTGATACAAGGTGAAATTTTACCTACCTTATACTTAAACGATTTGTTGAAATTAAGAATGTTATTGATAGTTTTGTACAATCACATCCTAATTTGAGAAGTGAATATTTAGAACAAAATGACTGGGATATAATTAAAGATATGTTAAATTTTCTTCAGCCTTTTTATAACGTAACATTAATACTTTCAAATGCCTCATTACCTTCCTATGGGTCTTTATGAGTAATCGTTCAAGGTCTTTTTGCTCACCTAAATGATTATATTTTAAATAATAATACATATTGTGAAATAGCAAAAGAAATGAAAATAAAGTTGGAAAATTATTGGTCTCATCTTTCACAATCTTCTATGATTCCTGCACTTCTTGATCTGTCGACTAAACTCAAAATCTTTAACGAAGAGGAACGCCAGTTAGCTATAAACCAGTTGAGAATTTTATGTTCAATGTATAACATTGATAAGGTGGTTATGTCACCTAAACAAGGATGTTTATTAGATAGTTTTCGTAAACTAATTCAAATGAACAAAAATGAAAATGAAAAAATTTAGGAGATTTAATGAATGAAATAGGCACTTATCTTGCATTACCCTCCGAGCCAGATATGAGTCCACTAATGTGGTGGAAACACCATTTTTTCTCATTTTCCAAATATAGCTTCTGTTGCAGCAGATTATTATACACTTCAAGTCACAAGCGTTCCATGTGAACATGCTTTTTCCGTTGTGAATTATACAATTAATCTTACACAAAACCATCTTCTTGAACAAACGGCTAGAGCTTCCTTGTGTTTAAAAAATTGGTTGGAAGCTAGTGTTTTAGAATAAATAAATAAAACATATACTGAATATAATCACTATATATTAGTTATAGATATTACAGTATTATGAATAAAAATTAGAAATTTAGAAATAAACTTTTAAAGTTAATATTTCATATGATTTTACATGATTTCACATGACATGGTGAGTTTGGTTCAAGTCAGACTCGGAACTGAGTCTAGATTAAAAACTCGACTCATGGAGTTGAGTCGAACTGAACTGAACTTTTAACATCTCTACTTATACATTTAGACTAGTTATAGTTGGAGCTATCGAAGAACTTAATCTTAAATCAGAAACTCATAATCATAGTACACAAGTCTGCCCTATAGAGAACTTCTATGCTGTAATTTGTCAGGCTCATCAAGATATGGAACATGTGGGCAGGAAAAAACATGGTTAAAAGTAAATTTTAAATATTCAATTAAAAATCTTTTTATATTTAAGTATTATATACTTACATATTACACGTATATATAAATAGATTCGGCAAAGGTATTGCTTTATACCTCAAACAATTGTAGAAAATGCTGTTAAGCAATGCAACGTATGTGTTACACAATGTGCAACAAAACAAATGCCTGCTATGAAGCCTATTATTGCTAAAAAATTTCTTGCTTATATTCAAGTAAGATTTATATTTATACATAATTGACTTTTTTAATATATTGATAATTAACATTAAAAAAATTAATATTAAAGATCAATACGATAAATATAACAGCAATACCTGATAATAAGTTTAAATATATTATATATATTAGAGACCACTTTACTAGATACTCAGTTGCAAAACTTGCAACATCAAAATCTGCAAAAGAAGCAGCTAGTTTTCTTTTAAAATTCTGTTTAATATTTGGGCCACCATTAATTCTACATTTGGATAATGGTGGTGAATTTGTTGGTAATGTAGTAACTAGAACTATAAAAC